TTTGATTTGTGTACCTTGATTATATTCATGCTATTTGATGATGCATACATTGATATATGACTAAAGTTGCATTATTTAGTAGTGGATGTCCAATTTAAACTTAGTTAAATGAAGAGATATTAAATTAAGGTGCATTCCCTTCAAAATAGCCCCAAACTATCTGTTTGTCCCAATCAAGGCCAGTAGAGCTGGCTCATCCCTTTTCACAGCCGGCTCAACCAAAAACTCGAGAGTATTCTCTCTCTACAGCACAGTCGGCTCTAGCTTCACAGCCGGCTCAACCCAAAAAAACCAAGAGTCTTCTCTATCTAAACCACAGCCGGCTCTAGGTTCACCAGCCGGCTCAACCTGCAGGCGACCCGACCCGGACCCGCTCTTCAGCTGGCTCTGCAATTATAGCCGGCTCTCTTGCAGATTTTTAAGGCTTGGGTTTGTCTCTCTCCTCGCACAAACCAGTCAGATCTGTTTCATTTTCTCACCCAAACCCACGACCTCTTCTCTCCCAAAACTCGCCATTCACTCTCCCAAACACCCAAATCTCTCCAAATCTCTAAAACCCATCCCTTAAACACTCAAATACCATCAAATCCTTGCCTACCCAACACAAAACCTCAAGCTTTTCACTTCAATTTGTGTGGGATCTACTGTATTTTTGGTGTGGCTGTTGGGATTTCTCTCTCATGGCTTTAAGAAGGGCTGGAAATAAAAGGAGACAAGTGGGTAGTTCTAGCACTGGTGGTCAAGCTCAAGAAGAAAAAGGTAACATCTCCCAATCAAATCTCTTTTTGGATACCCAAGCCTCTGCAAAGTATGAAAGTATCAAGAATATGGCTGTTTTATCTTGAAATTGTGTAAAATTCAGTCAATTTCCTCAAGGAGATATGCGTGTTGAACAAATTTTTAGAGAACTTGGGTGGAAGGATTATGTAGAAGTTAAAGAGCATGTGTATTATGAAGTTGTTCATCAATTTTATGCTAATTTGAAACCAAGAGGGAATAAATGCAAAACTATGGTTGCTGGGGTGTCATTTCAGTTTTCACCGAGGGATATTTTTGCTGAATTAAATATACCTAAAGGAGGAGATGATGAGTTTCTAGATGTGAATCATGCCTTAGTTAGAGCCACAATTGCCCCCAATTGCACTGAAAATCAAATTAAAGTGGGGTCTTTTTCACCAGAGAATAGAGCATTGCAGTGGATTATATCTCGCATTATTGCTCAGAGGAAGGGTTCTAAATCTTATGTTCTTGCCAGTGATCTTCCCTGGTTTGACTATCTTCTTAACGGAAAAAGGGTGAACCTAGGAAGATACATTTTCCGGAGCATAATCAAGCCTTACTCACCAACTACGGGACTTCCTCATGGTGCTCTAATTACCAGATTGGCGAAGAAGAACAACATTGATCTTACATCCTTTAGGTTCGGAACGGTTCCTGGTGGGACTACACTTACCAAAGCTTCTTTTGAGAAAATGGACTATTTGTTTAGAAATGGCACTTGGATAAAGAAAGGGGAACAAGAAGGGGATGAAGAAGAAGGTGATACAGATCAAGAAATGGCAGAACAAGGGGCAGAAGAACATGAAGATGACAGCCCAAGACCATTTCGAGCCTCCATGCAAAGAACTAACTATGAAACCATGGAGTTAATGATATCTGAGATGCAGCAGCTGCACATCGACTTTTATGGTTTCCGGACAAAAATGAGAGGGAGAATGACTAACGTGGAAGGAAAGCTTGATCGGCTTGTTAACCATTTTTTTCCTCCACCCCCACCTGATGCCACCTAACTTGATATTTCTTTAGTTTGGCTAATGTTTAGGATGGACATCTTAGGGTTATGCATTTTATGTTTTGTTTGTCTATGGATATGTCTTGAACCTTTTTATCTTGTTTTATGAATGGAAATGGCATCACTTGTGTTATCATGCTTTGTGAATGGTTGTTTATGATTTTGATGATAATATGCTTTTATTAAGGGGGAGTTTATTAGTTGATGAGTGTATTCATAACTTTGGTGCTATATTGATGATTATATTCATATTCTGGATGCTTTAAAGGTTGATAGCATGAATTAAGGGGGAGTTTGTTGATTATGTGCTTTTTGATGAATGACAAAAAGGGGGAGAAGAATATGCTGAATTTAATGTCATTTTCTAGAGTATCTTTGTGCTGAGATTCTAGCTAATATTGAAGTATATATGTGCTTTATCTTTGTGCTGAAATTCTGGGTAATATTGAAGTATGTATGTGCTTTCATTAATTCATTCTCAAAGTGTTTTGTCATCATCAAAAAGGGGGAGATTGTTGTACCTATGATTTTGATGATTATAAAACACATTTGAGTGACTAACTGGTTTATTTAAGTGTGTAGTTAAGTTGCTAAAAGATTGCAAATAAACTTGGATTGCACTAAAAATAAACCAAAAGGATTCAAAGTGTGCAGAGAGTCGGCTCTTGAAAGCTGCAGCTGGCTTTGGTGAAATGGAAGTGCAGAGAGCCGGCTCTACGGGCAAAAATTTTAAGACCGTTGTTGGCGCGCGCGGAGAAAAGACGCAAAGCCGGCTCCAACTTTATAGCCGGCTGTGAGGGTGCATTTAATGCACAACGGTCGAGTCCTTTGAAGATTATTTAATGTATTTAAAGTCGGAGTTGCAAAGCCGGCTCTCGAGAAAAACATAATGGTCTGCAGACCCGGATAGCCGGCTCTGGAAGTGTAAGCCGGCTCTCCTGACAATCCTGCAACTCGAGCTTTGTGTCCTGCAGGGCATTTAATAACCCCCAACGGCTAAAAACAGCTATTTTCGAGCAAGGGGCTATAAATATGGTTGGTAACAAATCTGAAGAAGTTTGGAGAACATTATATTGAATATCTTTACCCACCAACTTGTGCTTTGACTAGAGATTTTAATTTTTGAGAGATCTTTGTTTGTAATCCTCTTCTTATGCTATTAGTGAGTGATATTGGGGGTGTGTTGATTCCTTCAAGAGTGATCTGTAGAGAGGATCTTTGGGGTTTATCTTGTAAAGGGGTGAGATTTGAGAGAAACACCCTTATTCTTGTAAAAGGATTGAGTGGTTCCTTTAAGCCACCCTTGTTGTTGTTAGTGGAGAGTGTGGAGGAAATCCTTGGTGAGTGAAGCCAAGGTAGAGGACTAGGCTCCAAGTGGTTGGACCGAACCTCTATAAATCATTCAGCAAGCTCTTCTTCTCTACTCTTTTTAATTTGGGTGTTGTGGTTGCAAAAAGGGGAGAATTTTTAGAACTCCAATTCACCCCTCCTCGTACATTGAGTCAACATGTTGCAGGGAATTTGAGCCATCTGGAGATGTTGGCAATAACTGCACTATCCATACTATTGTGCATTACATGGCAAAGAACATGGGGCCTAGAGTGTTATTGCCTGGAAAGAGTTGCACAACAGCTTGGTTATGATCAAGGCGTACTTCCCACTCCCTCTTTGGACAAATTAGATTGGGACAAGGCCATACGGCCTTACATTGATGAAGCTGTTATAGCCATGTGAAGCGAGGGCAGTACCACATTGAGATTTTTTAACACCGCAAAGATGTTGACTATGTCATCTCTAAAGTTGAAGTATTAGGAAACACTACTAAAGAGGTCTAATAATTTTATTTAGTCATTGTCGAAATCGTGACATACAACCTAACTTCACAAGATTATGACCGCCTTTTTATGCACAATAATTCCTTCTTGAGTCACTGCAACAAGCATTCATGGGGCTTCTTGACAAGAGAAAATGATGGAGAGTGGATATCCATTTGCTTGCCCATTCCTGGCATGGCGAAGGAAGAACATGGCCAGAGTGAGGTTGCTATCAAAGAACACGGATAGGGGACAACTAGCGATGCTAGAGCTAGAGGTAAATAGACTTCTCTGCTTTTGTCTTTTACTTTGGTTATTCTTTTGTTATAGCCATGTGAAGTAAGGGCATTGCCACATTGAGATTGTTTAACATGGCCAGGATGTTGACTATATCATCTCTGGTGTTGAAGTATTAGGAAACATTGCTAAAGAGGTCCAATAATTTTATTCAGTCATCGCCGAAAATCATGACATACAACCTAGCTTCACAAGATTATGACCGCCTTTTTGTACACAATAATTCCTTCTTGAGTTATTGCAACAAGCATTCGTGGGGCTTCTTGACAAGAGAAAATGATGAAGAGTGGATACCCATTTGCTTGCCCATTCCTAGCATGGCGAAGGAAGAACATGGCCAAAGTGAGGTTGCTATCAAAGAACACAGACAAGGGATAGCTGGTGATGCTAGAGCTAGAGGTAAATAGACTTCTCTGCCTTTGTCTTTAACTTTGGTTATTCTTTTATTTAAAAAGGAGCTCGGCTGGATTGAGCATGTGCTAAGAAACATTCTATAGTCATGTATTTTGTTACGATGTTGTAGGTGAAGCTAGCTAAGCCACCCTTTCAAAGAACCCAATTCTAGGCAAGAGAAAGAACATACCCCATTCGCCCAAGAGCAAAATGTGTAGGATCTTTACTTCGCCAGCTAGTAAGCAGAACAAGCTAAGGCACCCACAACTTCCAAGGTAAGAGCCACTGAGGAGAAAGAGATGAGCAATGACAGCGATAGTGACAAGAGTTCTTAGGGAGATTCGGATCTTGAGGTGATTGGACAAATCGAGAGATTGAGACCTGTCCATGGTGGTAAGTGCTTGAGTGAGAAATACTATGATTCTAATGCTTTGCTCCAGGTATGTATACTATTGGATTTTTCCCTTGTGTGCTTTGATTGTTGTTGACCTCACTAAAAATCCTTCAATATATGGGTTAATGTTTGCATGAGTAGTCGATAGTTTCCAACGAATGTCTTGGCCCTATTCCCATTCTTGGCAATGATAAGGCCCTATCTAAGTCTGAGGAGGCCATGAAAGTTGAAGCCCTAGTAGGAAACATGGAAAAGGCCTTAGAGAGACCTAAAGTTCACCAAAAGATTCTGGCTAGCAAAATAGGTGAGCCTCCACTTCCCGACGATATACATAGTTTTGTTGACATTATCATTTATTAGAATGACCCTGCATCCTTCACAGCTAAGTTAGTGAAGCAAAAGACTAAGGCTAGTGATGAGAACCCCAAAGAGAACAATGAGACCCACAGCACGACAAGGATTTCTAAACTCCAGAAAAGCTAAATCAGGTTTATAATAGGACCTTGACCCGTTGTTTATGTCACAACAAGAACCAAAGGTAAAAACCTTGACTCGTTGTTTATGACGCAACAAGAACCAGAGGTATAAAGTTGGTTGACACCACACCCTCGAACGATTAAGAACAAGAATGATAAATCATATTAGAACGCCACAAGAATAATCTTGATAAGTTCTGTAAAGTTCTGAAATGAACCAAAGAGAAAAGTCTCTCAAAATCTTAGATTCAATAGCCTCATCCCCATTAGGGTTACAAGCCTTTTATATAGAAAAAACAAATCCTAATCAGAATAGGAAACTAACACCCTAAGTCCTAAACCTAATAACCACGAATTGGGCTTCAAATAAACAAATGTTCAGCCCAAAAATAATACAAAAAACGTGAAAATCACTAAAAATAACCTAAAATAACATGAAATATCAGTTTGCTACAAATTGCAACAGAATTGTGCGATTTTGATGCAAACTGTGTACTTCCGTGCAAAGGGCCTCAACTAAGCTTCTCTTGAACCTGAATGATGTTTACCATGCCTTGATAATCATCCAAGCATTGATTTGCTTGTTGCATGTTGTTTTCTACCCCGATCTGCTTAATAAGGCTATTTAAAGCTTCACGCATCTTCTTAGCTCTAGCTCACGTGGCTGGACCTCCTTGGGTGTGTAATAGATCACATGACGTAGTAGATATGGTGTGTAATGGATCACATGATATAGTAGATATGCTGTCGTCTTGATTCCCATCATTCCCTCTCTCCTCAAATCATCACCTACATCAAAAGGAGAAAGATTAGAAACATTAAAAGTAGCACTAACATTATACTCACCAGGAAGCTCCAACTTGTATGCGTTGTCATTAATCCTCGCAATCACTTGAAATGGTCCATCGCCTCTTGGTTGCAATTTAGAATGCCTTTGTGCAGGGAATCGCTCCTTGTGCATATACACCCAAACCCAATCTCCAGGTTCAAATGTGATGAGCTAAATTTATATACATATTAATAGGGAATTTTTACTTTGATATTATTGATATTTGAATAAATTTATGGGATTTTGTTTGATTTTACATGGTTTTTCATTCTTTGTGTAGGAAAGGATTTAATTGGAAGAAATCCTACTTTTTAGAAGTAAATTGAAGAGATCAGAGACTTGAGGATCAACTTGTGCAGAATCCAGAATTTAGGAACCAAATCTGCTATTTTACCATTGAAGAAATTGCAAAAGGAAACCAGAAACCCGACACGGGTGTAGTGTCGACACGTAACCGAGGTGTTGACACCATGCGTTAAACGTCCAGAATCAGATTCTATTTCCTATTTTGTGTCAACACGTAATCCGAAGTGTCAACACCACGTGATCAGCATCCAAAATTCAATTTCCTATTTCTGTTCCAAGTCCTACTTTTATTTCAATTAGGGTTTCTAAAATCATATAAATACCCATTCAAATTCAGAATTGAAAGAGCTTTCGGGAGGCTGGTGGCAGCCTTCTTTTGGGCACTCTTGGAGGTTAAGATAGAAGATCCATCAATGAGAAAATCAAGGATTTCAATTACCTCAAATTAGGTTTTATTTTTCCTTAGACATTCTTATGCTCATAATTGTGA